CAATGTTTACATTAATACTTGCTTGCTGGATAGCCACTCATTTGGGTCTCAGCTGGAAATCTGTCCAGCAGCTGAGAAACATCTGGTCATTAACCTTAGACAACATCTAATCTGGTAGCCCAGGACTGGAGCTCTCTCCAGAGGGAAATGGCATTTGGCAAGTTTTCCAATGAAGATCTGTAGCCCACCACTGTTGGTTCTAAAGCACAGATTGCCACTGTAAACATTTGTGTTTATTGCTCCGGAGCATGGGTGATTCATCCTGTTTCTGTAAGCAGGAACTAACATTTAAAGCACACACACACAGAAAAGAAGTGAAAGCTCAAAGCAAATGGGAAAAGAGAAGGCAATACAATGTTATGGTGAGATCATGAAGATCGGGGCTCATATTTCTTCTCAGACCTGAAACTTCAAAGGTGACTCAACAGTTGTGAAGATAAAATGGCAGGAGGGAAAGAATCAGGAGCTACCTTGGGGTAGAAATGCATAAATCTGATTGTTGTTTTTTTAAAAGAAGGACATACTTGTACCAAAGGCTACCGACCCTTTTCCCACACCACTCAGTTATATCCAATTAATGGCTCTACTGTCTTTCGTTCTTTGCACCCACTTTGCTATTGCTTGCCCTGCAGCCTTTTAAGCAAATTAGATATTTTATTCTAGTGATGCTTAGAAATGCTATGAGAACATGACAGTACTTCAACTACTCAAAAAGAGCCTTATAACAAGTGGAACAACCTGCTATGCATCAAATGAGAGTGGGTTTCTTATGACTTGAGAACATGAGATTGCATTTAATAAGCATCAATGTGCTTTAAAACCCGAATGCACCAAAATTTAACTTCTGAAGGCCTTGTAGAGGGAATCAACTCAAGAATGGCACTCTGCGGCACATTCTTTTCCAACTCCAGATCCCCAAATGCTGTTGGGCTACAACTCACATCATTGCCACCCAGGCTGTCTGGGGATAATGAGGTATGTAGTTCAACTGCATCTGGAGGGCAAGACTGAGAGAAGGTATGAAGCAACAGGGAAGAGATATCTATGCCTCCCCCCCTCCCCGCGGATGTTATTCAACTCCATTTACTTTCAGTGGATGATGAAGTTACAAATCCAATAATATTTGGGGGCTGCAAAAATTATTCATCTTGTGTGAATTCAATTTAATCTTGTGATCTATTAAAAGTTAATAAAAACAATATTAAGAATTCCATTAAAATGACTCAGTAAATGATGAAGCTGTACTGAAACCTCTTCAGACAAGCTCTCTCTATATGCAAGAACTGAATTTTCTGTGGAATATTCCTGACAAGTTCTGGACTTCAATCCCTGCCAAACTTTATATCTTAAACTGTTCTATTTCTGCATAATCCAGCATGTATAGTCCTCAAATGGCTATTCCAATGCATATTCTGATCTTTACAAAAGACAAAGAAGGGTGTTCCTTTTGGAGACATGGAAAAAGTGGGCAGATAACTAAAATTCCCATTAATATATTAGTCTGAGAGGTGTAGATTAAGTCATTGCAGACAGGATTTGTAAAGACTAAATTTCCCAGGCATCCCAAACGAGGCTGTTATGGGCAGACAAAAAGAGAAGTAATGTGTGGGTTTGGCAGCAGCCACGATTCTGGACAATCACTCATTTTGTCTGAACAAAAACTAGACTTTTGGTTTTCAAACAATAAGCTCCCTTTCCTCCCTCTCTGTGCCCCAGTCACCTCTGGAGTTTCAAAAACAAAAATCACTTATGCCATAAGAGGTATAAAAAGGCTAACCCAAAGTGTGCAAACCCTCATGTGGGTGGGAGTTGTTACAACTCAGAATAGTTTTGAGGCAAGAAGCCTCAAAATCTTTAGCCAGTCCAGCTGCAAGTTATGGGTGGAGGCAACCTCTGCTTACATTTCAAAACCCTGATTTGAGATCAGTTTGGACTTGCATCAGAAACTATGTGCCCATCTCCCAGCAGACAGCTGAAGAAGAAACAGGTGCAAGACAGAAGAAAGAGAGAAGGGCACAGCTTGGTTAACTTATTTTTTTAAGGCAGCAATTTCCGGAATACTCCACAAAAGCACAGTCAGTGGTTTAGGCAATTTCTGTCCTGAATCTGAGAAATTTATTGCACAGAAACGTATCTCGGGAAGTTGGGATTCTATGACAGTCAATGGCAGCAGTAATTCTACTTTAAGCATTGTTACGCATAGTGGTAAGTGGCAGAGTGAAGATGGGCCTAGAGATCCCTCTAACTTGGGGACTGGGTTGCAAAAAGGCCCTTATTGTCGTTATGTGCTGTATTACCCAATGGATTTTGTACTGCATTTGGTCAGATTCACCGCAATGATTTTCTTGTCTGCTGCTGCATATTCTATAGCTCTTAAAAATAAGAATAAAAAATTTTAAAACCCTCCATAAAAACACCTACCTTTAGTGTGGTAGAAAAGGTGCACAGAAAACAATGTGTCATTACTCTATCCACATCGTACTGGGTACTTGTACATCTAGGGCAACATCCCCTTCCAGAGATTGACCAGGGCATGGACAGAACAGTTTGTTATGTTAGCCAAAATAAAGGCTAGCCTAAACTACCTTGTGTATTGAAGAGCCGACAGCTGTAGCTATCTGTTCTCCCCACACACACACACACACACCCTACTATTAGGGAGGTTGAGCTCAATCCAACCACTCTACAGCAGGAAATCCTCTTTCCCTAACAAGGGAAGTATTAATAGGCTCCCCCCCGTCGACCTCCCACTTACAACACCAAATGCAATGTTTAGCCTAGGATGTGCACCAGTCCAATTGCATACTAAGCCAAGCCAAATAATACCTAAGCTGCATCTGAAAAAGCAGTCTTGGAGTGGAGGTCAAGTTCAGAACAACTCCAATGGCCAAACACATTAGCAGGGAATGAATGTGAAGCCATCAAACTCAACCCAACCCATCCAAGATATGGAGAAAAGCATATCTAAAACTCTTGGTTGATCTTTGAGTGGGCGCAGTAGAACATCATATATTTCTGAATCCCAATTATGCAGGAAAAGCAACAAAATGACCCTCCTACCCTAATTAGTATCGTCAGAAATGAAGATAGCTTTCAATAACCAGGATTATTATGCAGAAACACTGCCATTCAGTACTTGCATTCAAAGAAAATACTCAGGCTCAGAAAATTTAACTTCTAAATTTATGTCCTATGCATCAGATGCCAGTAGGTGGAAGTCAGGATTGGTCTTTAGTTCAAAGGTGGGAGACTGGGTTGAGGAAAGCACACCAACATCATCATTAGCCTCTCCACTTGCAGCTTACACTAGGTACAAAGGGCTTTCCCCAACATCTGGTGAGGATGAGAAACAAAACCAAAGAATACTGAAAGACAAACTCCTCATTTAAAACAATGAGCAGCAACATGTGGGAGTGTTTAATTTGACAAAGTAGTTTTTCCCCCATCGGGAACTACATTGGCATTTATTGTGCAGTTTGCTAGCACCCTCTACTGGTGAATAATATTGCTTCCTGTTTCTTGACACAGGAACTGGTGTAGGTCAGCGGACTGGAATTGTTGACTAGTTTGAATCTCAACTATGGCTCCTGAGATCACCTGGAGTGTGCTGATGGTCTTACATGCCCTGCCTCCTTTGTGACCGTGGACAAGCTGCATGATCCCAGCGCACACCAAGAGACTGGCAAACCAATCCGAGTACATTATACCCAGAAAACCCTAGGTGGGGTGTCACCATAACTCAACATCGATGTCATGGTAGATAACTACTTCTCAATGCAGTTTTTACAGGCCCAACAGGTTTTCACAACTTTGTTGCCTATAGGTAGGGTTCGCTAATGTTTAACTCATGTCAAGAAAGAAACTACCAGTTAACGATTTATAATTGCTGCAGTGCATGGCAAAGACCTGCGGTAACTATACCTGCTCTCATTTCTTTTTATTAGCAAGATAATCAGGCAGCAGCAATTTTCTTTAATGAAAAACTTCCTCCTCCAACAGAACAGCTTCTGTATGATGAAAGAATTATTCACAAGTCTGAAAAGCCACAGGAAAGGAGGAAGTTTTTCAGTAATGAAAAAAATCACTCCCTGTTGGTGATGTCATCACTCTTTTGTCTCGGCATATATTTCTAGAATACAGGCGTACCTTGGTTTACGAATTAAATGCGTTGTCCGGGACGTTACATCATGAGAAAAACTCGTAAACCAAAACGCGGTTCACCATAGGAACGGGGGTGGCATTATAAACCTCCAGGCACAATGCATCCTGGGAAACTTGCTTTATACTGTAAAAAAAATCATAAACCGAGGCATTTTCAATGGATTTTCTTTTGTAAACAGAAAATTACATTAACTGAGCCATTCGTAAACCGAGGTACGTCTTCAGATAAACAAAGATGGGGGCATCTATCACCTGTAGAGCAGAAAACATACTGGCCTGGAAATTGCTTCATGTGTTGCTCATTCAAGCTTTGACCTATATCTTGAATATCACTGCTTTCATACTTGTGACATTTTGGAATTCTGTCAGAAGGAATTCTCATATGCACAATGGCAACCTTTTAAAAAAGTTCTACGTAAATAACAGATCTTGGTGTTATTTTCAGATACATACAGTGAGATAAACATTTAACAGCAACTGGCACAAGGCAGGGTGGAAATTCCTTCGTGAAGTTCCAGCTTCACTGAAATCTATGAAAGGTGCCTAAGTACCATTAAGTTCCTCCTCAAGATTCAGTCCTTATGTCAATACAGCCTGTACTGAGCCACACACAAGTACAGATTGTATGTGTCCTCAGTGTGGAAGAGATTGTCACTCTCGCATTGGCTCTCTCAGCCACACTAGACGCTGTTCCAAGTCCTCCATACAGAGCATGTTACCATACTCCCTCAAGACTGAAAGATGCCTACACATGAGCCACATACAGGGGAATGTTTTGTGTACTCATACTTAGCAAGGATTCCCAGTCCAAATATAAATACAATTACAGCACAGTAATATTAATGCACACTTTTTTATTATATTAAAATCAGGCAATGGGTCTGATACAATAAAAAGGCTGTTTATGGAATACTGTTATGTTAAATTTTTAATTACAGAGGATGTTAAATCCTTACAACTATTTTCCTCAAGAGTTAATGGAAACATCAATTATTCATTGACTCAATAGCTTGTTTTTTAAATGTGACTTTAGTATTCTCTCTTTTTTTTTTTTTACACAAACACTGAATTTTTAAATTCATGAAACTTAGAAGTGGACACAAGATTGTTTGCATTTAAGCTTGCATCCGCATTTCAGCAGTTCAGTGGTCCAAAACAAGATGTCCGAAAAGGAAGTGATTTGCCAGGAAGCCTTGCCAAACCCAGTCCCTAAGCCAATATTCATGGCACTGCCATCCTATTCTTTAGGGAAGAGTCCTCCTCTCAACAAAGTGTCAGGAAAAAAACTCCTTCCCACACAGCAGATTCATCTCTACGTTGGCAGGCTGTTAAAGGGCCCAAAGTTACACGCACTGATGAGTACTAACATGGCGCTCAAGCAGAGGTAGTGACCTTCAGCTCAATGAGCTGGAGTGTTGGTTTCCAATGTCTGTGTAAAAATCTCACCACAATATTTGGCCATTTTTAAGAGGGTTCAAGCGATCCTGGTAAATTACTGTTCTTTTCACCACTACAAAAAAGCCTATCTAACAACATCAGCCATGGCCAGCTTGGTGGTATGGAAACTGTGCCACAGGACAGGAAGAGAAGGATCCTTGCAAGCAATGACAGACACTCTTTGTTTTCTGAGCTGGTGAAGACTAAATGCATAGTCCCCCCACTTCCTGTCACCCCTTTTAAAAAAAAATGTTGTCAAGCATGAAGCAAAATAATAATAGTAACCAATAGCAACAGGCAATTTGCCAGCCACTTACCTCTTTTGGCCAGGTGTCAAGGAAAGGATCATAGATAGGGCAAAAAGAAAGCAGCACCCCACTGTGACAAAAGGGAGAGAGGAAAGACTGAAAGACACCCCTTCCCCATCTATTACCGGGGAATGGTTGGTGCATGGATTCAATCTATGCCTTACCCAAAGGTTACTGGGAGAAAGAAAAGCCTGCCCCAAACAACTATTATGTTCTTTAAAAAAAAAAAAAGGAAGAAAGGAAAAAACCTAAAACCAACCCTGGACACATTCAGCATTTTACTAGAGTTTCACAAAGGGAGGGATGACTGACGATACCAACATATCCCATTAGTAGTCCATACAGTCCCAGCATAGGACTGAGAATTGAAGCCTTTGAGCACAATCCTTTTGGGACGTTATCCTGAGCAAGCCCCACTGGAATATATGAGAGCTATGCAAGAGTAGAGTGATGTTCTTGCACAGTCTGTGTCCTTTTCAAGGGGGCTTTGTGCAAGAGAACTCCCCTGTAGATTGTGTCTTCTGTGTCTACTCTAATAAATAGCCCTGAGCGACAACTCTATTGCAAACACAAAGAGAGAAAGAGGAGGAAAAGAAAGATAAACCCAGGCCAAACACACAGCAATGTGATTGTGTGATGTATGCTTTTTATGCATTTTCACAGTTGAGTTCAATGTGCCACACTGGTCTTGACAGTAATAAATTTAAATAGACTTTTCTTGATACCAGAAGTTCAACTATGTGAACAGTGGTTACACATGACAGCATTATTTGTTATAGCACAACTTATCTTCAAATGGAAAAAAATTAGTATCATTTACAGTATCTCAAGGTAGAATTTTCCTTGAATGGGAACTTCCTTTCCAGTATTTGGAGGCCTACAAGATGCATCTAGAAAATTTACTACTGTGGAAAATGAAGAGCTTAAATTGAATGAAACGGGCATTATTTTTCTGTTTGTTTTTCATTAATTGCTGTAACATTGTCCTTCAGGTGGTTGAGGGAGTTTCATATTTTCTTTAGACATCATTAGACGCCGGAGCTCTTGCAGAACAACTTTGATACTATAAGAATTCTGCCATTTTGCTAGGACTGATATGGCTCTTGGATCCACCTAAAAACAAATGAAAAACCACAACCATCAGCCTTAAATAGCTTCAAATTTCCCTTCCAAATCCCTTTATAGCAATGAAGACCAGGGTCAACATTTATGAAGAACTATATGATGTACAATAAGGGTTATTCTTTTCACTTGTTAATTCTTGAACAGAAAAATATCCCTCATCCTACATATAGTTGGTGTCCAACCTTGGGCCTCCAGATGTTCTTGGACTACAACTCCCAGAAGCCGTTACCACCACCTCTGCTGGCCAGGATTTCTTGGAGGGGAAATCCAAGAACATCTAGAGGCCCAAGGTTGGGGATCACTGCTGTAGAGCATCACTTCTAGAACTGAGAGCTTTTCAAACCAATTTGGGTGGAGAATTCAAAGCATTAAAGTAAAAGCCATGCCTGAATTAACTCTTTGGATCTTGCCCTGAAGTTGGGTCAGTACACAAAGCAAATAGTTATTTATTTGAAATATTTTTATCTCGCCTTCCTCCTTAAAAAGAACCCGAGGCAGCTTACATCATTAAAAAGACATTATGTAAAAACGAAAACAGTATGTATACACGTTTAAAAAGAATTACACAAGTATTACATTAAAAACAGTAATAAAATCAATACTAAAATACATTTAAAACAATAGAGCACAACAATCCATTTAAAAATATAGGTTTAGTAGGCTTTAGTAGATCAATCAACCAAGGCCATTTCAATTTGTATGGGCTAAAAGTTATAATCATATCTCATTTTCTTAGGATGTTTTGGTCCTAGTGTGTTATTGTCAGAAGGAATCATAAGCAAATATTAAAGATACCCTTTTCTTCCATTAATAGTTTTTTTTAAAAAATGTGACTTTGCTACTTATTTATAAATATTTACAAACCATTCAGAATTTAAGATTTCAGTGTAACATACAACAACAAAATATACAAGAGGCATAATACTTAAAATTAAAAGGTAATTATTTACAGTGTTATACGATGATATAGATGATGCGTTAGACCAGTTCCCACATGGTCTATTGGACTGCAACTTCCAGAATCCACAGCACAAGTTTGGGTACCACTCTGTTAATCTACAAAGTGAAGGCTTGCCCCCCCCTCAAAGAAAAACAAGGCATCTAAAAAATTGCTGAAACATATCACATTCAGATGGAAGAGTTATTCTACATAGACCATGCCACAAAAATAAATGCCCTGCTCTGAATAATTCCACAGTAGACCTCAGCAGGATGTGATACCATTAGGAGGGCTTCTCACATGACCCCAAGGCCAAACATTTTCTACACAAGAAAATGAAGATTCTTCGGCAAACAGATTCCAAGCCAAGTTAAGCTTTATACACTAACAAAACACTAAATCTCATACCATCTAATATATCTTCCTTGTGTGTGTGTTCTCCTCAGTCAAGTCGCAACTAACTTATAGAGATTTTTAAGGTAAGTGAGTGGCTTTATCAGTTTCACTCCACCAGTGAATTTTCATGGTCAAACCCTGTTTTCCAGAGTGCCAATCCGTCACTCTATCCACTACACAACACTGGAAATCTTTAGGTTTTATGAATTAAAAATAAAGAATTTGTGTAAAAGACAAGCAAACAACCAAAACAAAATTCTCATGTGCCCTTCAACATCTCAAGAAGCCAGCTATACTAAAGTCCTAGTATTTTGCAAAGTTACCTGGTGGATGCTAAAAGAAGAATTAAATTTACCAGCAGACAGTTATAAAGTCAAAATTTACTTTTGTGCTTATGTTAACAGAAATGTTGCAAGGGAGAAATAGAAAATAAACAGCTGTGATTAAGTAGATGTGTTAAATCATTCAGTCCTGAAAACTGACAATGAAACACTTTTCATTTAAGTAATGCTGTGATACAAACGGTGAAAAACTTACCACTCCATTAGAACTATTTACTCCATTCATATTAATTTTTGTTACAAATCTTACAAATGGAGGTGCTTCTGGATATTTAGGCCCACATTCTATTTTAAGGCTGTATATTCTGTTTTCATAAATTGTCTGGACAGAATGAAAAAGGAAGAAATATCATTGTTGTGTGTCCCATTAATGAGGGAAGGCAACATTGAGAGAAAAGAGAATTTAATTAGTTTCAGATTACCATTGTCATATTTTGTCTCCTCACCCCTTAAACAAGCTTGTGTCAGCTTGTATTCATTGCATAATACAACAACAAATACTGGAAATGCAGATGGAAATGCATATCTGACTGTCGAATGTGTCTTTTCATCTCTTAAGAACTTGACCACACCCTCTCTTCTTTTTGACTTTTCTTTACATCCAGTACACAAACTCACAGTGACCTCTGAACAAATTAGGTCCATTTTGTGACAACTAAGTACCCAAGCATGAGTTGGAGGCAAAAAGAGTTTGCAGCTGAGTGGGAAGAATAACAAGGTGACACTCTGGTGAATCACTGTTCGAATGCAAATATGCTGCCACTGGAGCTAAATGTACTTTATAGATCACTAGTTTTCTCTCCTTTCATTCTGAACACTCAGTGCTACCATGGACAGTTCTCTCACTATTCAAAACTAGGTTCAGGAAAGAAGATGTTGTGGTGGGGAGAAATCAGGTATTCCTGCTAAGTAAGCAAAAGTGCCACCTGCTTGTTCAGTGTGATGCTTGCATTCAATTCCATAATAATAATGATCAATTAGGAGCCACATTCAGGCTGAGCTTCTATAGGAGTGAAAGAAGTCAAGATATGTTCAGAACAGTTTGCATCAGGTGCACTCTGAGAGCTGCAGTAAAAATTACCAACTCACAGATTCTATTACTTATGTCTGCAGTCCTCATCTCCAAAGAACTCAGGTGGATTTTATTATAGTTTGCTTGCAACTATAGCTTGCAATTTGTTTGGTAAATACATCAGGTTTATTTTTATTTTATCAGAACTTCATCTTTGCTTCCATTCTCTCCTCATTACATTTCTCTAATGCAGGGGGTAGCCAACTTCTAAGGGTCTGGGGAAAATTTTTGTGCCCAACCCACCCTGGTAGATTGCAACCCTTTCTGACACCTCTCAAAATTGCAACCAAAACCTGAAAGGTGGTGCCATTTGGAATTTAAGTGTAATTTGACCCCACCCGATTTTAGACCAGAAGGGACTTTTGTGAGAACAGCTAATGACGAACCAGTCACTTCCACTTCAATTTTTAAAAAGGCCTTTTCATGTCTTACTAGGGAGTTTACATTGCAAATTGCACCCCCACAAAATTTCCAAGGGATGCAGTTTGCCATTTGGGGATGAGTCACTTGTCTCAGGGATTGTGGTGTTGAAGTAGCCCGGTGCTGTACTAGGAGGCTGTATGAAGCCTGCATGTCATCTACCCTTGCTTAATGAATACTTATAGCTTGCTGTTCCTTTGCATACATCTGGCAGTTATAATAACCAGGATTAAGCCACAAATACTTCAAGAGAACCATTCCCAAAGGCCATTAAAATTATGTACTTGATATAGAAACGTGATAGAATGCATTTGTTAATGTTGCTGTTCACCTGCATCATAGTTTTATATTAAACAGAAATACTTTTGGCATATCAAATTCTAATATCTTAGACGGGGGAAGAATACAAATTATTTAGGAGCACAGAAAATGCCAGCAGTGTCTCACAGGTTTTTCAACTGTCCTGTTTTCTTCGGTTTCGTTAATCATTTACTACTGTAAACTAGAGATGAGGGTATTCGTATACAAATATCCCCGCACAGGTGGAAATAACAACGCGAGCTTGTCGGACCTTCCTATCGTGCCACTGTCTGCAACTAATTACCCAGTTCTGGCAGGAGGTGGGATGACAAGAATCTTTGCTAGGTTGGAGAGTGGCTAATCCATTGCGGAGAACAGTGCAATAGTAAGCCTCCGTGGAGCCAGCAGCAGTGGTGAAATTGTGAATGGACAGTCCAGCCCTCGTTATTTCCACCTGTGTGGGGATATTCGTATACAAATATCCCCATCTCTACTGTAAACACATAAGCTGCTCATACATTGGCTGAAATCCTGCTGCTCAGCATAGTAAGTCACTGCCTTGGGTCCTTTTAAGGAGAAAGAAGGGTAAAAATATTTTAAATAAATAACTAAATAAACAAGAATAGGCTCATTGGATCCATGGGGATTTGGTGAATCAGTTCCTCCATAAGTTCCAATGTTTCAGAGACAGTACTCTTGCAACTTAACTGTGCAGGTAACAGGATTTCAGCCATTGTAGCACTACCTAGCACAGCAGGGTGAAAGAGAAATTAAATCATATATATATAGAACAAAATCACAGGAAGAAAAATAGCAACTCCTACCCCTAACAGACTAACTGACATATGCAAGAAAGAGGCATTTTGCAAATAAAACAGGCTTAAGGGTAGTGGTTTCCATATTTTTAAATGGATGCTTACTCTTGGAGGCCCAATGATCATGCCTGTCCATCTTGTAAGCGTCATATCTTCATCATCTTCAAGACCCCAGCTAACTGTCCCATCTCCTACTCCTTTCTGACCTTCTTCAAGTTCTTCCAGCAGTCGAAAATTGCGAGGAACTTTTACTCCTGAATACAAATCAGAAGACAATATTAAGACTGGATACTTTCGATCAATATGTCAAACATTTCATTAATTAACAGTGCAGTTGTAAGCACATTTACTAGAATAAAGGCCCACTTAATTTAATGATGCTTACTCTCTGTTAATTAAATATAGGCTGCAGGCTAAAAACATAAGACTGATAGGCTATTGCAAATGCCTGAGAATATTGCAAGCATCCATTATCTGTGTCCTCTCCTTATTTCACAGGAAATAAAATGAAGCAAAATAACTCTTTCATTATGACAGATGCTTTCCTCTACCTTTCCCTGGATGCAAAAGCTCACAATCAACCTGCTATCAGCTCCAGTCTGTGGCAACCAGCCAGTTACACTGCATGTCTCCACCTATACACTTACTGCATTAATTACAGTGAAAGTGAAAGCCTAATTGTGCTGCAGCTGTTGGGTGTGGCAATTATGTGGCAAGCTAGAACAAAAATAGATTCCCTTCTCAAAAGAGACAGCAGGAAAAAAGGTGGGGAGAACAATGGGAATAGATGTCTAAAAATGTTTTAAACAAGCAAAATGAAATAAAGAAAAGACTATATTAAGCTATAACCAAGTACTGTATGGCTGTTCTGAAGTTAATGTGGCAGTGCGGCCCTCTTCCATTTACAATTCTAAAGCAGCCCTCCAACTGACCCAGACTGTGTTGCAAAACAACTGTCCTACCGAAACCAAATTCAGAATGCAATAACCTAATGGGTATTATCAGTAGAAACCAAACTGCAGGGGAAAAGAAAGCAAGTCTACTTAATAGTCCTCAGAAAGTGTTTTTATTCATATGGTACATGTACCAAAAGTGGGATTTGGTGGCGCTGTGTGCTAAACCGCAGAAGCCTGTGCTGCAGGGTCAGAAGACCAGCAGTCGTAAGATCGAATCCACGCGACAGAGTGAGCTCCCGTCGCTTTGTCCCACCTCCTCGCCTACCTAGCAGTTCGAAAGCATGCAAATGCAAGTAGATAAATAGGTACCGCCTTGGTGGGAAGGTAAAATGAAGCTCCCTAGTCACACTGGCCACGTGACAATGGAAACTGCCTTCGGACAAGTGCTGGCTCTACGGCTTGAAAAACGGGATGAGCACCGCCCCCTTAAGTCGGACACGACTGGACTAAAAATGTCAAGGGGAACCTTTACCTTTTTTACATGTACCAAATGAACCAACGACGAAGAATCCGCACTCCCTTTTATTCAGTATCTTGCTTCACACAACATGAAGTAACAGATGCTGTACTAACAACTTCATTGCATTAATAAGTATTTAACAGTGTACTACTGAGCACTTTTTAAAAAGCATACCACCACCGACAGATTGCTAACAATTAAATGTATGAGCTACATTTACACTGAATGTGTTCAAATTAAAGTCTAGTAAAATTTCCCAATGACCTACTCCCCAAATTGTAAACACAAAGAAATAAATTACATTAGTTTATTCCAAATTAGCTGGCTCCATAGTCCAGTTAGTTGAGTATCTGGCTTTGAAGCTAGATGCAGTTCCCCACTGTGCTTCCTGTACCAGAGCTAACCTGTGTAGCCATGGCCAAACTGCACCCTCAGAAGAAAGGAAATGGTAAACCATTTCTGAGTACTCTCTACTTATAAAACCATGGAAAGGGTTGCCACTAGTCAGAAATAAAAAAATAGTATTTTTTTATTCCAAATTAGTTGCTAAAAATTCTAAGAACAGAATGACAACTATCCAACAACAGCTAAAAGTAGAAATTATGACAACTGAAAAACATTCCAGTTTGGGCTGAAGAGAAATGAGAATTGCAAGAAATAAAAATTTAGCTTATTTTGTTGAGCAAGTCAGTGGACAAAAACAAAGACACTCCCCCCAAAAATAACTTCACAGAATTGTTAATAAGATCAGAACAAAGCATACCAGTATGAATACAATACACTGGGACCAAGTACCTTGTTATGTCATTGTGCTTGTATCCTGTGGCACAATTGTTGCATGCTCTCACTCCCATTGAAGGATGGTGTCCTAAACACACTTCCTCAAGCAGTTACTGCACTTGTGGAAGGTTGTGCAAGGGCTGAACCTTCCCTGAGAGTGCGTAGTGCAACACTAACATTCCACCACAGGGTGGTGCAACAGAGATAATGAGTCTGACGTGGGATCACTTATACAAGAAAAGTACAATCTAGCACATGTCTGAAAATAGGGAAATGCATACATGATGGTTTAATATTATATTGCCTTAAATCTATTCCTATGCAAATATAAATCTACTCTGATACCTTATGGGTAGGCAACGTGTGGCTCTCCACATGCTGTTGAACTCCACATGCTGTTGACTATGCTGGCTAGGGCTGATGGAAACTGAAGTCCAACTGCACTTTACCCACTCCTGCTGTCTATTCAGGGGTCCCCAACCTTTTTCACCCCGCGGACTGGCTGGGGAAGACGGGGCACACCCAGGAACAAAAGCTCTCTCTCTCTCGCACATGCATGAATGGTGGGGGCACACTTGTGCGTATGCACACACTGCGGTGCAGTGCTCACACGGGTGTGCTGGAGCACACACACATGCACAAATCAGCTGTGTGTGGGTGAGTGTGTGCAAGAGGGGAGGTCTGTGTCTGCAGCCCAGTCCGGCTCAGGCCATGGACCAGAACCGGGCCATGGACTGGGGGTTGGGGACCTCTGGTCTATGTCATTAGTAACTCCAGTATCAACTACTGTAACTATGATGCTAGCCTTGAAGACTATTTGGAAACAGGAGTTGAGCTCTTGAGCAGGTTTTCTTATCTGAAGTATTAATTTTTGTTTGTTTGAAGGTAATATTTAAGCAATGTATGTCTGCTTTTGTCTCGATAAATATTTTTGTTTCAATATTTATAGGCTGAACAAAAAAATTATTTTTCAGAAGACATCTGTCAAATTATATGAAATCAGTTCGTCCTCAATTTAGGTTAAAAGCAGGCAATTTTCATGGGTCCAAAGTTGAATTTTGTCCTTCCCTGGACCCTGAAGAACAGCACACCCTCTCCAACTCATCCAAAACCATCCTGAACACACACACACACAAATCTGTGTCTGTACCACAGCCTCAAAGGTGTGTGACTTGCACAATAGATCCAATCCCCCACACGCACACATTATAGGGCTGAAAAGGCTATTTTTGAAAGGGACACCAAAAAACAAAAAAAACTATACAGCACAGAAACATAACCCTCCAACCCCACCCTGCAAAATCCAGAAGCAGAAAGCAGCACCAGGCAGTCCGAAGCCTCTCTGCCAACGTGCGCACATTAACCATTGGGGTGAAACAGCTACAAAGAAGCTCTTGGCCGACCAACAGTTAGTCCTGCAATTTGAATTCCCCGCCTTTTCCCACTGCCTCTTTTGTTTGCAACTTGAAGCTCCAGCCGCAGGATGAAGCAAAATTCTGCGACCGGAACAGGTTGCAACTCGAAATTGTGGTAAGTCGGGATGTTCATAAATCAAAGCATCACTGGCTTAATTATTGTAACATTTTTATGAGAAGTGGGCTATTTCAGTAGCATTATCTCAGCCATTTGCTAGATATTCTTTTGTAAATGTGATGGGGCATAAATTGCATGCACATAACTGTTGCAGTGACTGAATTTCTTCACAATCACAGAAAATTTGTCTTCTATCCAAGTAGCCCCATTTTACTTGATTATTCTTTGATCATCCTACTTCGTTTGAATTCTATTATCTGGCTTCCAGAGGCTAGTCTTGTCCCAGTGGGAGATGTTTTTCAGCATTCAGCCATTTAGCAGATGTGTGTTGTTTTTGTTCTCTATATGTTTATCCTAGTATCTTCTGGATTAATATTAAGAGCTTGAGATGTGTGCAGAAAACCTTCCATCAATTTTAGCCATTGTTTAGGGCAGTGGTTCCCTACCTTGGCTTAACTCAGGTGTTCTTGGACTACAAGTCCTAGAAGCTCTAGCTAGCACAGCTAGTAGTGAAGGCTTCTGTGCGTTATAGTTCAAGAACGCCTGTGTTACTCAAGATTGAGAATCACTTGTCTAGGGACTGGTGTTCATGAAGTGGATGGGTTTGGTGCCGTATTACCTTATTTTGTTCATTATTTCCTAGCATTTCTCAACATACGTCTGGAGGAGCAATGCCAGACAAGAAATAGACTTGGGGGTAGGTTTCAAGTAGCATGGTTCATTAAGAGCTACATCCATTTGTTTGCCATGTCCAGATTTATATCACATGGTGCTACCATATTCTGCTGTGGAGCAGCAGAAGATGAAACTGTTGTTCTTATTGTTTGTGGGTGTGTACCCCAGTCTGACTCAGCTGGTTTCCTAAGTATGTTGTTTCTGGCAACAACTTTCTGTTGGTTTTTAGACAATGTTTTTAATAAGTCAGAGTTTGATCCCGAGTGACACTCAAATACTTTGGGGCAGGGCAATGTTCCAAAATCTAGTCTTCCCAGCTAAATCAGAGTTTCCTCTCTGTTCTTCAGTTCTTTAATTGGAAGGCAGAGACCTGTGTTTTTAAAAGGTTTGGTTTCAGCTGGTTGTTTTTATAATAAAAGGAAATATCTTCTAATGCAGAGGTTAACTGGTGCTCGATGGCCTCAAGGGTTTTCCCTTAACTGTCGAGGCAAGATCATCAGCACAGATGAACCTCCTGAAGTATGGGAATGTTGGCTTATCACTTGTGTAAATGTTAAAAAGTAATGGAGCCAAGATGCTACCCTGTGGAGACTGTTCCTTTGGTTTCTCCAAACTGGAAGTGACAGAAAGCAAAGCAAAGCGTTCTGCTTATATACCGCTCCATAGTGCTTAAAGCACTCTCTGAGTGGTTTACATCATGGAACAGGTGTGCCCAATTTGGGTTTTAAGCCCACCCACTACTAGTAAACTGCTTCAACAAATGAGTCCTGAGGAAGGATACCATCAATAGGTTGAAGTTTCCCCCCACTTCCTCTAAGCCTTGAAAAAGAAACAAAAAATACGTAACTAT